CGCGCTGCCAGGGAAGCCAGAGAGACGGCGGCCCCGGGCAAAGAGGAGGAGGAGGAAAGAGGCGGAGGAGAGGGAGGGACGCAGAGGGCGGCGCTTGGCGGCGCGGACGGCCGCTGCCCTCCTTCGCCTCAAGGCCGCCTCCTGCCGGGCTCGCCGCGAGAGAGCCGGAGTCCGAGGGCGCGGGAGAGGCGAGGAGGGCGAGGGTGCCTCCCCAGCCTCGAATGGCGGCGTGCCCCACGGCGCCAACCTCTTGCGCGTCTCGGGGGAAGTCAGCCCCCTAGGCTGGATGCCGCGCTGACGCCTGAGGTAAATCAGTCGGAAGGACGTCCGTCAGATACCAGTGGCGGGACCCACCTGCTTCTCTTGCCGGGCTGGGCCTATAGGAAAGGTGGCGAGGGTACCTGCGCTGAAAAAATCCACACGGAAGAGTCACAGATAACTCTTTGCCGCCGTCTAATACTGTAGTCGTCGGGCTTTTTCCAGCCCTGGAATGATGGCCCTGATAAAGGACGATTTAACTTTTTTTTTTTTCTTTCTTTCTTTTTTGTGCCTTCAAGTCAGTGTTGACTCCTGACGACCGTGCAGTTTTCTTGGCAAGATTTTCAGAGGCGGCTTGCCCTTGCCTCCTTCCTGGGGCTGAGAGAGAGAGACTGGCCCAAGGTCACCCAGCTTCCTGTCTAAGGTGGGACTAGAACTCATGGTCCCCGGGTTTCTAGCTTGGTACCTTAACCACTACACCAACCTGGCTCTCAGCTTAATTTATAGCTTCTTGTTTTTCCCTTTGAAACCCTGGGGTGAGAGTCACCTCTGAGGAGGCATTTGGAGATACAGGGTGTCCTCCAGGATGTTTTTAGAAACAAGCAGCCTAGACTGCTCAGAGAATCTTCTGCTTGATACATGTGTTTTAAAGTGTCACGCTTAAAAAAAAATGACGTCAGTGTTTTGGAACAATATATGTGTGGAAAACAATTTGTGGGGAGGGAAAGTTGCGTTTTGCCTATTCTCTGAGAAATTCTGCTTGATGCAATCAAATGTTTAAACTGCACATGCTAAACAGAGTGTGGTTATTGATTTATTTTAAGTTATTCTGGATAGGAATAAGCCTATCCTTCACAGATACAGGAACATTGACCTAGCAGTGTTTTAAAACATTGACTGATTACCAGCATTTTTGTTTAACTAGTCATATCCTAGTTCAGTTAATATTAAAAGAAGTAAGAGTAGGTTCACACATCTCTTGGGGCCATTCTGCACAATTACAAGTGGGCAACAGTTCAGCAGTCACATTGTAGAGCTCTTGAACCAATGATATCATCCTCAGCTTGAACCAATGGTGCCATCTTCAGCTCACCTCTATCCCAACAAGGAAACAGCCTGCAATCATACTTTCCAGCATCACTTCAAAAGTGATATTTCCATCCATGCAGTTTCTCTGGATGGATGAACTGGATGAACTTGGCAAGTATTCTGGCTCATGTGATAAGAAGATAAACTGGGAATGGTATTGTACTGTAGTATTGTTTTTCTAACATTCTGCTGGTAGATGCATTGAATGGGAAGGTGTGAGGCATAGTGAGTGGAGGTGGGATCATTAAAAAGCTCTATCAGTAAAAGCCGCATTTCCTCGAGACCCACCCACGGAAAGGCATTTTTTAAAGAAATAGAGAAGCAGTGAAATCAACCAATCGGGCTGTGGTAACTGCTATCTGGAAAGAACACACGGCCAAAATTACTGCCAAAGCTTAAAATCCAGACAGATATTTCCTAAGCTGGTTTCATCTCCAGCCAGTTTCAACAAAGGAGACAAGCAGCTTAAGGCTGCAATGTAGAAGAGTCTTAAAGCCACAAACAGATTATGTTATGACTTAGAGCTATGTGTGAACCATGTCATTGTTTATTTCTAATTACACTGGAAACATCTTCATTTGCTTATTCAAAATTCTGAAAAGTTTTAACATGCACAGCTTAAGGATATTAAAATAAAAGAAAGTATCATGGTTGGTATCATGCCACTTCAAAAAATCAAAAGCTGAATTAAAGTGATATCAGATCTTCAAAATTGTTCATTGCAAATACTATCATCCCATATGAAATAGATTTGGCAATGAAAAAATGGAACATCAGCATATTATTTGAACATACTGAATAAGCTACAGCAGAATAAAATTTTTTAATTTGAAAAGTGGAATTATTCCTACAAACAGCTATATGTATGCTTTAATTCTGTGGGAGTGCAGAACATGGCATCAGACTCAAAATAATTTGACCTCTTGAGCTTTCATTTGGAGAGGGTAGATGGCTACGCAGAACAGGTTTCTGGTTTTGAAGTTTGAGAAAAATGTGCTTGAAAGCAGGAGGGCAATGCTTGCTAACATCTTCCATAAGAACTACAGTTCTGCAATCTCTGCTTTTATGACATCCAACTCTTCCACACATCCCTCCAGGAGAAACATGTACATCTATCCCCTTCATTTTCTTGCCTGTTGACTACTTATCATCTGGTTACTCATATAGTTTCATTTCTGAACCAATTTCTTTTAAAGTATCACCTTTACAGGATCAACATTTTACCTTGATGGTTCAGGACCCTCTAAAACATATATTCAGCATATTTAGGCTTTGTCACAGATTGGCCATGCAACCTAGAAGTTCACAAGTAATGCCAATCCTAGTAAGTGTAGCTTATAGGTATTGTGTAGCGTATAAGTGTTTTTGAATACTAGTCAATTCACAGCAGAGAGACAGGTTATTCACAGGACCTTTGCTTACCCCACCAAAACCAGTAGGATTGGCATGCTTCAGGACCCACCTGTTAGGCAGTGTCATCTAGTGGGACCCAGAAAGAGTGTCCTCTTTGTCACTCTGCCTGCCCTGTAGAACAGCATCCCTTCAGAGATCCAAATGGGCCCCAACCCTGTTGGCTTTTTTATGTCAGTAATGACCTGGATGATCCCACAGGCATTTGGGCTGGGAAGTTAAGTGAGCCTTGTTGCTTGATTGGTTGAGTCACTGTCTCACTCACTATAAGCGGAATGATTTTTTGACACACACACACACACCCCGCTTGTGTTACATTACTGTTTCTGGATATTTGTTTTTCAAATTGTGTTGTTGGGTATGAGGTGAGTATTTTTTTGTTTGTTTGTTTGTTTTTGGTTTTGGCTTTTAATCCTCTGTACATCACCTAGAGTCACTTTGGCGATTGATTGATTCATTGATTGTTTCAATTTCGAGGCTGACTAATTCCATGATGGCTCTCGGCAGCTTACAAATAAGAAATTAAAAGGAAACAAAACATAACAAGAAAAAGAAAACAACTGATCAGAAGACAGAACTGGAAAGACCAAACAGCAAAAAAACAAAAACAAAACAAAACCAAAGGGGCTCAACTAGCATCCTAACCCAAGGCCTGGGAGAACAATCAGATGAGGTAAGCAGCTATATAAATTGTCTAAACATAATAAAATAACATTGCATTTTTAGACGTACATTTGAAAAGGAATTTGGCATATCCACCATGCAATATGGATTGGACATTGGTGTGTAAAATTGGCTCTTGAACCTCATTGATCACATTTCATATCCTAGAAAGTTAATGGGACTAACATTAATCCATAGTGTGTTTTGCTTGTTTGTCATTTGCTATGTTGTCTAAGCCTTGCCATGTAGTTAGTTCAGTAGATCATGGATTAAGAAATGTAGTGCAAAGTATAAATCCAGCTTTTGATTTATGGGCCTCCTGAAAACAAAAAAAACAAACAAATGATAACATGTAGTTAGTTCAGTAGATCATGGATTAAGAAATGTAGTGCAAAGTATAAATCCAGCTTTTGATTTATGGGCCTCCTGAAAACAAAAAAAACAAACAAATGATAACATGTAGTTAGTTCAGTAGATCATGGATTAAGAAATGTAGTGCAAAGTATAAATCCAGCTTTTGATTTATGGGCCTCCTGAAAACAAAAAAAACAAACAAATGATAAAATAGATTTTGTTTTGGCTTTTTTCCCCTTTTAGCAATTTATAGTATTATCAATTATAGAAAATGGAGTAATTAATCATAGACATTATTTAATAGCCTATCTTAAAGTACATTGAACTTCAAAGTAAATTTTCTGAATTTGAGATACATAGATTTTAAGTTAATCATCTACCACATTGGATGCGTAACATTTAGATTTAGATTTAATTTCAGGAAGTTCTACCTTTCTCTCATGCAAGAGACCATGAGATTATTGAAGTAAATTTAATGCTCAGAGATCTGCCTGATTTTATAATGGATATAAACCATACTGCTGTACTTAAACTATAGTTTGAAAGAGAGCATTGAAGTGCTACTTTAAAAATTCCTCTTGTTTCTATAAATCATGTTGTTGACAATCAGTTATATAGGCTGACAGTATTACATGGCCTACATTTGTTATCTTTTACTCCAGTCTTACCTGTTGTGTGTTGAGTAGCTATGGTGACACAACCTAAATACCCAAGTGCGACTTTATAAAAGTCAGTTTATTTTAAAGTTGAGCTTGAAATAAAGGAGAAATCTGCTGCTGTCAGTCCCCTGATCTAAAATACAACACAACTTAGAAAATGCTTTCTTAAGAGGTCTTAACTCTTAACTTATTTACACAGCTAAAAATATAAGTTTTAGAGCAGCCACAAAGTATTGGTAAGCCTTAACAAGGGAGACAGCATTATGCTTGTGAAGTCATGATGGGACTATGTGTAGGCTAAAAACACTCAGTTTTGCCTTGAGAAGTGTAAAGATAAATGGAAGGATAAATACATGTAAGTGAATTAATGGGATATTGCTGGAATAGCTTGAAAAGCCCAACCAATAATTCTATACTCCAGTTTTACCTGTTTCCAGAAGTCAGGTCCGGGGAAGCACCTTTGAGCTGTTTAAGGGTCCTGTGCAATGCTGGTCAGGACCTATGCTATAGCAGTTCCCATGCCATAAATTTAATGGGAAAAGACATAAAAGTGACCAAAAGATTCCAGCTGAATACTGTATTAAAAAAAAATCATTTTGCCCTTGAGTATTTCCAGCATGGCTGTTTATTTAATTCTGGCTTTTGCAACCTGGTATCCTCTAGATGTGCTAGTATAGAATCCCCCAAACCCCCAACTATGCTAGCTAGGAATTCTAGACATCATAGATCAACTTGGTAAGAAGGGTGGCTTAGTGCTGTCCCACTATAGCCAACTAGGATTTCCATAATAAGCCATAATAAACAAATCATGGTTTAGCGCAATGAGCAAAATCAGCCTACTTGACTGTTACAGGCAGATTGCTACTTAGCAGCCCAGAATGGTCAGCTGATTTTCTTCAACAGGAGTTGCTGAGGCTTCCCAGTAGATGAAGGATCTCTCTGCAAACCTGAATGAGACACTCAACAGATTTTGGAGGTGACAGTCCTCCAGTTAAGGGCATGAAAGAAGAGGACAAGGAAAGACACAAGGATCATGTTTTTTCCTCTTAGCTTTCTGCCTTTCTGTAGCTGCTTGGAGGCATCTCACCAGATGGCAAATAAGAGGTAAAACTGGAAAGAATGAAATAATTTTAAAAACCTGGCAGTATAGCATTATGGTGCATGAGTAGAGGATTCAGAACTCTTTCCCCCCCTTTTGATACAAGAGATAAACAAAATCAAACTTTATTAAAAGGGGAAAAATCAAATATTAATATGTGACCATTCCTTGTTGAAGGAGAGGAAAGCAAAGCTGCTTTGATAAAACAACCGCTTCCAAATGAGTTTTTTAAAAAAGAGAAAACTCCTTGTTTTTCAGACAATGTTGCTACTGTTAAATGTCCAGCTGGCATACCTGGGCAAAAGTATTTTCTCAACAGGGCATTGAGAAAACCATATGGGCATCCCTACATTCAGTTGGCAGAAGGCAGAATACTGTTTATGGTAAAGATGCATAACCTGACAAATGTACTCAAAATATTTCGGAACTTCCAGCAGTCCTGGAAAGCCAATGCAACTTATTCTGGAAGCTGAATCCCTGTTCCAGAGGAACTGCTTTGACAATAATTCCAAAGCACTTCCTTTAGAACGGCAGGGTGGGGCAGCTTCCCGTTGGTAGGAAGTCCCATCTTGTCTGTCTTTCTGTCTTTGGAAGTTCTACTATCTCTCTGGAAGCCAAGTCACTCTGAATTCTTCTCCCATCTTTCCGTTATGATTGGAAGAGCGGACTTGCTATTCCCCCAACGATAGCTGGGTTGCCTTTTTTTTTTTTTTTAACCTATGAGCAAGGATGAAGTAGAACAGAGGGGCCATGCAACCTGACTCCTGTTTTTGATGGCCCCAGATTGGCTGGAGGGAGCACTGGATGTCTCAAGAAAGCAGCCTTTCTGGACATTTGTGTGACAATGCAAAACTGTTGCCATCCATTTGGATAGTGAAGCCAGAGGCTCTGAATCAACGCATGGAAGTGCCCTAAAAAGTATCATCTACTTCCAAACACTGTTTAGTCAAAAGAATAGTCTCCTTGACTGTTCTGTACTATAAATCCCTATGCATTTCTTAAATGGTTTCCAGAATGGCAAAGAGCATCTCTCATAAGCAGAAACCCCTGGCTTCCATGCCCTCAGTCTTGTGCTAATCTCCTAAATCATTTGAAATTTATTCTTCCATTCTGTTCATCATCTTCCATTCTTAGTCCATCATTGACTAAGATCAGTTCTATTTTTCAATGAATCAAAGGCAGCACAAAAATATGCACATATCAGTATCTTCCTGATGCTAAAGAAGAACAAAGAATATTTCCAATGCCAAAGAATAGCTGGTTGCTGCCCATAAGGGAAAAAAAAACAATGAAACTTAATTAACAATCTTAATTAACAGAATGAAGAAGAAAGTAAAAAAATCCTCTGAGTTGCCTGATTCTTCAGATGTCAGTGAGAATGAAATAACATTGAATATCATAGCTAGGATGCTTTTGGGGTGTGGGGAGTAAACTGTAGCAGATTACTACCTGTTATTCCCTATTTCTTTTTTCTAGAATACCTCCTCACAAATATCAGTCAACATTCCTTTGCAACATCATCTATGATGGGTATTCTTCATGCCCTTCCACTGCTCATTCAATAGAAAAAGTACAATATTCCACCAAAATCAAACAACATTGAAGCCCTCCCTTTTTTTGCTTTGTTCCCATCTAGTTTTGTCATTTCTGCCATCTTTATTCTTTTTTTGTTTTTATTGTTTCCTTGTTTTTAAGTGTTTTTAACAATTTGTAAATCACCCAGAGTTGCTGGGAGTCAGGTGACATATAACTTTACATCATGATGATGGTGATGATGGTGATGATGATGATGATGATGATGCATCCATTCAACCTAATTCAGATAGAGGATCAAAGAGATATAGTATGTGGATTTCAAGTATTATCATATCATGACTTTATCACTACAATGTTCATATACTGCAAATGCTGCACCACGCTGTTTTCCAGTCAAGAAGTTTAAATGTTGCATTTAGGTGTCCTCTAATATAGCTGTAAAACTAAGCCATAATTTGACTTTATATGAGAGAGTTGATACACTACACACTGACTCCTTCAGTTATATATGCTGGTACCCCTGATTTTTGGTAAACCAGAGCTCCATGCTTAAATGAACATGGAAAATACAGTTTGCATCAAGCCTGTGAAGCAGGACAAAAGCAATTTCAATTCATAATACAATGAAAATACTTGATATTCAGGAGTAATTTCAGTTTGGACAAAACAAAGTTACTAATGAGGCACAATGTAGAAGAGGATTGATGAAATGGCAAGCCTGATATCAA